TATGAATTTCCACTTGTTATGTAATTGTCTTGAAATCTGTGAGGACACCATGCACTTGTACAAATGTAATCATCCTCCCGCTGAACATAATCGTCTAATCAACGTCGCTTAACCCGGTTTACTGAAAACGATGTCAACACAATTGTTTCAAGTTATTTATATCAACATCAATATTATCATTTTCTTTTGTATCTCATGAAAAAAATTCTTTAAAAATAATTAGTAAATTGTTTTAATAACATAGTCAAACAACTTTAGAAGCTTATAAACAATTGTTTTTTAATAATAATAATAATAATCAAACTGTTATTATCTAATCAAAATAAACAATTGTTCATAATAATAAAATCGTTAATTTATTTTTCTTAATGATCATTTTTTTTTGAAAATGTAATATGTTTATTATCTAGAATTTTAATATTAAGTCATTATTACTTATAATATTTTATATACATTTGTGCATGTGCACAAGATATCTACTAGTATGAGTAAAGTTGATATGATGCGTAATAATGATATATAATTAAACTGATAATATTGATGTATGAGTAAAGTTGATATGATGCGTAATAATGATATATAATTAAATTGATAATATTGATGATAATGAATGTAAGTTAAAATTGAGTTAAAAGATGATTGAGTTAAAAATATTTGGATTCTTTTGAAAAATTTTGTATCCAAGTATCCTCTTAAGGTTGTTTCGTTGGTAATGAAGTTAGGCTCTTTTAGAGTTGTTGTTAATAGTTTTTAATCCTTACTTAATTTATATTTAAAATTTAATCCAAATTTAACACACTATCATTGTCTTCTATGTTATTAATATAATTATATAATATCAAACAATCATTATTACACGTTATATCAACTTTAATTTAATGTTCATACACTCACATTATTTTAACTAACATCACTTCACATCATCTCTCTCATACTTTTACATCAAATCAACTTTAATTAGGTGTTTCTAATATTATTTTAAAATAAATTCAAGTTCTCACTAACAACTAACAATACTAACTTTTCAAAACGAACTATGATTAACTAAAAAATTCGTCTTGAGAAGATATTTTCGTATCAAAGCACGCTCTTACGATTTGGGTTGTGAATTTGAGGGGAAATCCAATTTATCACACTAATTTTTCCATTTGAATTGTGAAAACGTAAATTATCCTCAACAACATTTTTTTTTATTAACAATGTTTAAATAAAGAATAATAATATATACTTTTAAAAAAAATATTAAAATAATATCTTGGACGACTTTATGCACTTTGAAAAAAACAAAAACACTTGGACGACCTTCTACATCAACTAGAAGTGTCAAGTGAGCGTTAAAAAAGTGGGGTAGATGTAGAAGAATATAAAGTTGAAAGCTAGAAGAACCATTAATATGCAAACTCGCATATTTCTCCATGGGTGCATGAGCTAAAAGAAAGTTGGTATATGAATGGTTTATGCAGATGGATCTTCGATGGTTACAGGAGCTGTGTTTCTACTTTCTAGGCTTGGGACAGGTGTGGTTCTTAAGATATTTTTCGGGAACTGGAACCAGAATCGAGACATAATAATCGGTTCAATTAACATATAAAAATTTGCAGGAATTGAAAAGGAACCGAACCGTGGTATAACGAAAAATGATGAATATTTTTTTATAGGATAATCAAATTTAATGGTTATTTTTATTCTTTTACTTTTTTAAAACTCATCCCTATTGAAAATAATCAAAAAAATGGAGCTTAATTTTATAAATAATATTTTTTCTTTCCGTGGCTCTATACATGGCCGCGGGCCGTACCGGCCCGTGGTCCGAACTATGAATCGATACTGGCCCGGCCCGAACC